CGGTGGATCAAGGCACATTGAATGCAGTCTCTGCCCAGGGCAGCACGCAGAACAGCGCAGTGGAACCAGCCGCTAAAACAGTTTCGGCAGCACCTGCCGCAAATCATGCAGACATCGAATTGGGCGATGCAGCTGACGTACCGTTGGCCTGCTCGTTAGACGATCCAGATTGCGAAGCATGCCAATAGACGGCATGCCAAAAGGAGAATTAGGATAATGTTAAGTTGGGACGATTATAACGAAGACGATAGCGCGCGAGATGCCAAAAACGCAGCTGCAAATACTATCGCCGAGCCACAGACAGCAGTGGAAATACAGGTAGAAGTGCCTGTTGCCCCACCCACAGAAGAAGCGCCCGCTGTTGTACAGGCATCAGTTGCTACGCCAGCCCCCGCTGTGCCAGTAACCCCGCCTGCACCGGAGGTAATGATCCCCGAGGCTGCCGTTGCTGAACAGGCGCCCATGGCCCCGGCTGTGCCGCCGGCGTTACCCTCGGCGCACATAGAACCGGAAAACACAGAACGTGTGACCGTTGACCAGAAAGCGATGATCAACTGTCGTGCAGACCTTAATCAGCTGGTGCCGTTTAAGTACGACTGGGCCTGGCAGAAGTACCTCGACGGTTGTGCAAATCACTGGATGCCCCAGGAAGTGAACATGACCGCAGACATCGCGCTGTGGAAATCCGAAAGTGGGCTCAGCGATGACGAGCGCATCATCATCAAACGCAACCTTGGCTTTTTCTCGACTGCTGACTCCCTGGTTGCCAACAACCTGGTTCTGGCAATCTATCGTCTGATCACCAATCCTGAATGCCGCCAGTATCTGTTACGCCAGGCGTTCGAAGAGGCTATTCATACCCACGCTTATCAATACTGCATTGAATCTCTGGGCATGGACGAAGGTGAGATCTTCAACATGTACCACGAGATACCCTGCGTAGCGAAAAAAGCCAACTGGGCCTTAACTTACACGCGTGAAATCAATGACCCGACGTTTAATACAGGATCCGTTGAGACTGACAAGGCGCTGTTGAAAAACCTGATCGCCTACTACTGTGTATTGGAAGGAATCTTCTTCTATTGCGGGTTCACCCAGATTCTGTCGATGGGTCGGCGTAACAAAATGACGGGGACCTCGGAACAGTTCCAGTACATTCTGCGAGACGAGTCCATGCACGTGAACTTCGGTATCGACGTCATTAACCAGATCAAACTGGAAAACCCCCATTTGTGGGATGCCGAAATGCAGGCTCTGGCGCGGCAGATGATCCTGGAAGGCACTGACCTGGAAATTGCTTACGCACGGGACACCATGCCTCGTGGTGTTTTAGGCATGAACGCCAACATGATGGAAGAGTATCTGCAGTTTATTGCTAACCGTCGCCTGGCTCAGATTGGCCTCGGTGAGCAATACGCCGGCGTTAAGAACCCCTTCCCGTGGATGTCAGAAATCATGGATTTAAAGAAAGAGAAAAACTTTTTCGAAACCCGTGTGACTGATTATCAAACTGGTGGCGCATTGAGCTGGGACTGATCGCCGTCTACCATAAAGCCCCCACCGCTTCGGCGCTGGGGGTTTTTTAATGCCTGGAAAATATTTTCACCCGAAATCGGGGGAGCCTCTGCCTATGTCTATTGCGCGCTTTCTGATTATTCCCTTCAGCTTTTTTTCTTTTTTTGCATATGGGCTCGATAAAGACGCGACCTACCGTGTCGACGGGCTGCAGAAACCAGCTGAAATAATTGTCGACACCTACGGCGTCCCGCATATCTATGCGGCAGATCACTACGACGTATTTTTTGTACAGGGATTTAACGCCGCCCGCGATCGGCTCTGGCAGATCGACCTCTGGCGCAAAAGGGGCCTGGGCGAACTGGCCTCTGCGCTTGGCGAAGAATATGTCGCGCAGGACAGCGCCGCGCGGTTGTTTCTCTATCGCGATGATATGTATACCGAGTGGCTTGCTTACGGCAACGATGCAAAAAGAATTACTGAGGCATTTACCGCCGGCATCAACGCATTTGTGGCACTGACCGAAAAGCAGCCCGAGCTGCTGCCTCCGGAATTCAACCTGTTGGGATACAAACCTGACCGCTGGCAACCAGCCGATGTGGTGCGGATTCGCAGCAATGGGTTGTGGCGCAACGTCACCACAGAGGTATGGCGCGCGCAGCTGGCCTGTCAGAATCAGCTCGACCTGGCAGCGCAGTGGAAGCAACTGGAGCCAAGCTGGACCACCACAATCCCTCAAGGGTTAGATCCGTGTGTCATCCCGGACAACGTCCTGGAAAAATATACCCTGGCCAAAGCACCGGTAGTTTTTGATCAGGCGGTAACAACAGCAATCGCCCTGCAGGATGAAGGTGATCATTCTCTTGGCAGCAACAACTGGGTAGTGGCTCCAGAACGAACAGCCACCGGCCGACCCATACTGGCGGATGATCCGCATAGAGGGCATGCCACGCCATCACTACGATATATCGCGCATCTGGTGGGCCCGGGCATTGACGTCATCGGTGCGGGAGAACCCGCCTTACCCGGCATTTCCATTGGCCATAACCAGCAGATTGCATTCGGTTTAACCATTTTCCCCATTGACCAGGAAGATTTGTACGTCTACGAAAAAACAGCTGAAGGCTACCGCTATCAGGGCCGCAGCGAACCTTTCATAGAGGTGGTAGAGGCTATCCATGTCAGAGACAACCCCAGCCAGGAAGTCACACTTCGATTTACCCGCCACGGGCCGGTGGTTGCAGAGACGAAGACCCACGCCTTTGTTGTGCGTGCCGCCTGGCTGGAACCCGGCATGTCACCCTACTTCGGCAGCATCGAATACATGCGCGCGCAGAACTGGCGTGAGTTTGAAGCCGCACTGAACCGCTGGGGTGCACCTGCAGAAAACCAGGTTTATGCCGATACTGACGGCAATATCGGTTACAAACCCGCAGGGCGTTTCCCGGTAAGGGTCAACTGGGATGGCCTGATGCCGGTACCTGGTAACGGCCGATTTGAGTGGCAGGGATATTTCGATATGGATGTGCTGCCGGTTGAGTACAACCCGGCCCGCGGTTTCACCGGCACCGCCAACTCCATGAATCTGCCCCCTGACTATCCCATCAACGACTATAAAATCGGCTTCGAATGGTCGAGTCCCTGGCGCTACAAGCGTTTGTGGGAACTACTGGAAACCCAGGAAAAACACAGCATGGCCGACTCAATCAACCTGCAGCGCGACTACACCTCAGTGCTTGCCCGCCGCATCCTGGCATTGTTGCCAAAACTGGCTGATCAACCTCAGGGAAAACTTCTCAGCAAATGGGACCACGTTCTGAGCCCGGATTCTGCTGCCGCAGCCTTATGGAATGTCTGGTATACCCGCCACCTGGTACCCGCGCTGGCTGAAGCATTGGCCGGCAGTCGAGCAGTCCCCGACAATCCCCTGGACCCACTGACTGTGCTGGAAATGCTGAAAACACCCGCAGGTCAGAGTACTGCTTACGCCTCGCTGGCGGCGGCTGTTACGGAAACTCAAACATTGCTGGGAGATGAACCCCGCCAATGGCAATGGGGAGACCTGCATCGCATCAAGTTCCAGCACCCGCTGTATGACCAGGCCCCACCAGCATTACAGGCACAGATGAAAATCACCGACTATCCTCGCGGCGGCAACGCCAATACCACCAACAATACCGGCTACCGAGGGGCAGGTTTTGATGTCGCCTCTGGCGCTTCTTTCCGTATGGTGGTTGACGTCGGCAACTGGGACAACGCCTTCGCCACAAATGCGCCGGGACAGTCCGGAGACCCCCGATCACGCTTTTATGACAACTTATTAGACAATTGGGCCAGAGATGACAGTTTTCCGTTGCTCTATTCGAGAACTGCTGTCGAAAAAAATGTCGCTTTTTCCATTACCCTGCTGCCGGGAGAATAATCGAGATGTGCGATGTTGCAGATAAATTCACGTTCGGCGCGCCATTTATGGGCTGCGCTGGCGTTCCTGACTGGCGGTCTAGCTCATGCCCAGGTCAGCTATGAAACGCTGACCTTCATCGACAGTGATGGCTATTCCTATGTGAATTACGCCACCACCCGATCTGATGTAAACAGCTATACCGTGTTTCTTGATAAAGCCGAGAATCTCGGTGACTACCTGTACATCAACCCCAACCAATATCAGTTTGACGACTCCGAACCGTCATTCAATCAACTGAAGTTTGATCAGGGCAGCTACGCAACAATCAGTCAGGGTAGTTACATCAATACCCATCAACCAGAGAAGTCGGCGCTGCAGGTCGAGGCAGACGGCACTTATCGACTGCGCACCTGGGATGGCACCAAACAAACTAACGGACACTACGGCATCTGGAACACACCGGACCCGTTTGCGCGTTTTGCCGCGGCATGGGTTTTCCCAGCGCAGTTTGAGGTCACCGGATACCACAGTAATCGCGAAGGTGAATGGGTTCAGCGAGGCAATACACTCGCATTTTTCACCAATGATGCAAATAACCTGGCGTTTGAATTCACATACCGGCGCAGAAGCCAGCCCGCGTTCAGTGCGCTCATGGCTCAGCTCAAAGACAACCAGGCTGTTGCCGTCGAACAACAGGGTAACGGTCTCAAAGTGACGCTCACCAACGAAATCCTGTTTGCATCCGGTTCTGCTGATCTGTCCGATACAGGTCGGGAGCTCCTGAAAAACGTTGTCAGTAACCTCAGCCACCGCGAAGCTTACAGCTTTATTGTTGAAGGCCACACCGACAACGTACCCATCCGCGGCCAGTTGCAGCGTCTTTATCCAACCAATTGGGAGCTGTCAGCCAAACGTGCACTGAATGTGGTTCATGCGCTGGATGATGCGGGAATCGCACCTGAACGCCTGCAGGCGCGGGCTTTTGGTGCTTACAAACCACGTGTGCCGAATGATAATGATGGCAACCGTCGAGAAAACCGACGCATTGAGCTGTTGATCGAACCCCTGAGTTAGGCGCCGCTCACGACAACTGTTTGCACATGTCCCGCAGCGTCTCCACAAACGCCAACGGCTGATCCAGAAAGACATGGTGCTGAGCCTTTTCGATACCCACCGCCGGAAAATCCTGAGGCACCAGCTCGCGCATGTACGCCAGGGTGTTAAGGGAAAACAGCTCACTGTCTTCGCCGTAGATTAAACCGAGCTTTACCGTCAGGTTCTGATAATCCTCAGGCTGACGTTCGATATCTTTCATCGCGGTGTAAAAGTCTTCATCAAACTTCCAGGCATACCCGCCGCCTTCCACCGGCATCAGTGAATTGCGCGCTATGTACTGCAGGATGTACTCATTTTCACAGGACTGCGGGGGCTGCAGGCGAAAGCGCATAAGCGCGTTTTCTTTGTCCGGGTAAACCTTGGCGCGAACATTCATCATCGAATGATCCGGTGGTGGATCTTCCGGGCTGCGGATACCTGAATCGATGAGAATCAACGCCGCAAACCGATCAGGATATTGATTAGCCGCCCGCACAGCCATATAACCACCAAAACTGTGGGCAACCACAAAACACTGGTTATCAAAACCCGCATCGTCCAGCACGGCTTTAATTTCTTCGGCGTAAAGGTTGGCGTTGTACTCGTAGCGATAGTCGGAATCACCCATACCGGTGAGATCCATCGCTGCAATTTCATATTCGTCGAGCAGCTGTGGCGCAATGAAATCCCACCAATGCGAATGGGCATGCATACCGTGAATCAGTAACATGCCGCGCTTACCCGGATTGGGGTAGAAGCGGTAGACCACATCACATTCGTCTACCTCAACGCTTCTGGTTTCGGCCGGGGTTTCCACTGCCTCCCAGAACCAGTCTGGAATCGTGTTTGCGCTACCTTGTGAATCCCAACGAGCCATACCCTCTCCCCAATTTCACTAGAGCTGCACTAACGCACCCATTCTCGTGAATACGTGGTAAATGCGTGGCTACAGACGACCAAACCGTTTCAGGTGGAAATCTACATTGCCAAACAGCGTATCAATGATGGTCAGACGTTTGAAGTAGTGACCAATGTTCAACTCATCTGTCATACCCATACCACCGTGCAGCTGCACAGCACTCTGGCCGACAAATCGACCGGACTTACCTACCTGTACTTTGAACGCGCTGACGGCTTTCTGCGCTTCCGGCCCATAACCTTCATCCAGGCGCATAGCGGCCATGAACATCAGTGACTTGGATTGTTCGTGCTCCATGAACATATCCACCATGCGGTGCTGCAATACCTGGAATTTACCGATGGGCTGACCAAACTGCTCCCGGGTTTTGCAGTATTCAACTGTATCTTTATAAAGTACTTCCATCGCGCCAACCGCTTCAGCGCCAACCGTCAGAATACCGCCATCAATCACCTGCTCAAGCAGACCAAGACCGCTGCCTTCTTCGCCCAGCAATGCATCTGCGTCAACGGCAACATTTTCAAAGGTAATTTCTGAAGCGCGCAGGCCATCCACTGTAGGGTAGTCTCGTCGAGATACACCTGGGGCATTGGCATCCACCACAAACAACGATACGCCATCGGTGTCACGCTGCTCGCCGCTGGTGCGGGCAGACACCACGAGGATGTCTGCTGCTGGGCCGTTGAGCACCACGGCTTTATAACCGTTAATGACGTAGCCCCCATCTTTTTTACTGGCTGTTGTGGTGAGGTCGCTGAGATTAAAGCGACCCTGGGGTTCAGCATAAGCCAGCGCACCCTGCACTGACCCGTCGATGATGCCCGGCAGATACTTCTCTTTCTGCGCAGGGGTGCCGCCGTGTTTGATCGCGCCACCTGTCAGGACGATGGTTGCCAGGAAGGGTTCAACCACCAGAGACTTACCAAAAATTTCAGCCATCAGCATCGCTTCAATGGCACCACCACCAAAGCCACCGTCGGCTTCAGAAAACGAAACACCCAGCCAACCCAGTTCGGCAAACGTGGCCCAGTTTTCAGCGCTGTAACCCAATTCTGAGCGGGTAAGTTTCTGACGCGACTCAAAGTCGTAGTCATTCTGCATGTATTTGGTGACGCTTTCTTCTAACAGCGTTTGTTCTTCGGTAAACGAAAAATCCATTCCTAACCCCTATGTTCTGAGCCTTTCAGGCAGCCCTGTTTATTAATGTTCTGCAGATTTTCCTACAGTCTCTTCTGCGGTTATTTCCACCGCCTCTTTCTCAGGCAAAATTGCGATCTCTAAATGTTTCGCCGCGCGATCTTTCAGCGCCGTTATGCCAGCACCGGCATCCTGCTCAAAAAAGGCAGCCACCTGGTCAGCCAGCGCGTGTTGCATTACGCCAGCCGCCTCATCTGGACCAATAGGGCCTTCATTGTGCAACAACATTGGATTCGGGAACGCCGGATCCGGATAAGGAAGCGCATAATACCCGAAACAATCGATCTGTAATGCCCCAAGTTGCAAGAGGATTTCCCGACTATGCAACTGCATCAGCTCCAAGGGCACGGGCAGTGGCTGCGCCCTGGTCAACGCATCGACACAACGCAGCTCAAGGGCCTGCAGGCCAGCGAGATCCACCGCCAGAGCATCTCTCTTCGCCGCCAGATCCTCATCCTCCTGCAGGGTCTGCAGGACAGCATCGATACGTTCAAGTTGTGCTGTGGCTACCGCGCTCCTCGCGAGCGTGGTATGTACGCTGCTGAACTGCAGGTGCTGGTATTCTGCGGCAGGCGCAGGTCGAGTAAGGCAATATCGCTGCGGCAGCTCGACGGAATTAAGGGTCAGGTGCGCTATTTCAGTGACCCCATCGAGGGTGGTGGCATAACGTTTAATCAGACCCGGATGATCCGCAGGCACGGCAAGCAGGACAAAATTATCTGGCTCATCGGCGCAGCGCGCCAGCACAGCTATCCAATCGGCAGATCGCAAATCCCTGATCAGAGACTTCTCCCCGTTGAGACACAAATCTCCGCCAAGGCCACTGACCGTGGTGGTCATCTCCGCAACCTGAGCGTTGCAAGCCGGCTCAAACATGCCCAGACACCAACGTGCCCGCCATGCACGAATATCAGCAAGAAATTCAGTTTGCGCAGCCGAGCCGCCTGAAGCGATCAGCATTGGACCCACAACAGTGACACCTGTGCCTTCTGCAAAGGTCTGATCCACCTGATGTCTGGCGCAGGCCTGCTGCCAGATAAAGTGCTGCATTGCGCTCCAACCAGTGCCGCCAAACTGCGTCGGCCAGGCAGGCACAGACCAAGCTTCCGCCACTACCGCCGCCCGCCACGCCTCGATTTGCGCCGTCTGCACGTTACTCTGCCCAATCGGCCAGTGCTGAGACACAAATGCATCAACCTGGGCGGCAAACTTTTCCTCTTGTGTGGCTAAGGCGATCTGCACCGGGGGCGATCCGCTGAAATGACAGGCGCCTATTTTAGCACGTGGAAAATGCAACTTAAGCCAGGCAACATAGCGAGTCTTTTTTATCAGCGCGGAAACTGCAATGAGCTACAGCACCATTTTGTACGAAGTCGAAGAAGGCATTCTGACTCTGACCCTGAATCGGCCGGAAGCAATGAACGCCTTCACCCACACCATGATGGAGGAAATGATTGACGCCTGTGATCGTGCTGATGCAGACGACGATGTCAAAGCCATCATTGTGACCGGTGCCGGGCGCGCGTTCTGCGCTGGTGCTGATCTGTCCGGTGGCGGTGATACATTTGATGCAGACGCGCGCAGCGATCGCAACAGCGGCGTGCAACCCGACGGCGGTGGTCTCCTGACGCTGCGCTTATACGAACTGAACAAACCCATTATCGCTGCCATCAACGGTGCCGCAGTAGGCGTCGGGGTCACCATGACTCTGGCAATGGACATCCGCCTGGCCGCTGATGTTGCTAAATTCGGTTTTGTGTTCGCTCGACGCGGGATTGTCCCGGAAGCGTGTTCCAGCTACTTTCTGCCTCGGGTAGTCGGCATCAGCCAGGCGCTGGAATGGTGTTATTCCGGCCGTGTCTTCCCCGCTCAGGAAGCACTGGAAGGCGGTCTGGTGAAATCGCTGCATGCAAAAGACGACCTCCTGGCTGCGGCACGCGCCATAGCAGAAGATATCCGCGACAATACCGCACCGGTTTCGGTAGCCATGCTCAGACATATGATGTGGCGCATGCTCGGCGCTGATCACCCGATGGAGGCCCACAAGATTGATTCCCGGGGCATCTACTATCGCGGCCGCTCAGCGGACGCCAAAGAAGGGGTTCAGTCGTTCTTGGAGAAACGTCCGGCGGAATTTCCCGGCAAAGTGAGCTCGGACATGCCAGAATTCTTCCCATGGTGGGATGAGCGTGAATTTTCATAAACATTTGCGGACTAAACACAGTATAGAGGTTGATTAAAATGACAGAACCAACAGTTGCCCAGGCCGCGCCGTTTCCTGTAGACGTTGAAGAAGGGAAAAAGTACTTCTGGTGCGCTTGCGGTAAATCCGCTCGCCAGCCATTTTGCGACGGCTCCCACGAAGGTACAGATTTCACGCCTATGGCGTATCAGGCCCCGGCCAGCAAAACGCTGTACTTCTGTGGTTGCAAACACACCGCCAATGCACCTTTGTGTGATGGCGCCCATAACTCACTGGGATAAAGCTAACGATGTTGAGTCGATGGTTTAAAAGAAGTAATCGACTTGAACACGCAGACCCTGCGACACGGCTGGAAGCCGTCAAAGCGTTATCTGCGGAGCAAGCTGCCGAGAATCAGGAGATGCTGGCGACACTGGCCCGCACCGATGCGGATACAACCGTACGCCAGGCGGCTATCGCTCATCTGTCAGATGGTGATCTGCTCGCTGACCTGTTAGACGACAGTGCAGTGGCGAACACTGCAACCAAAAGAGTGTGTGAGCTGATCGCCCAAGGACAGGTGCCAGCCTGCGCGCAACATGAAAAAGTTATCGCTGCTCGCATAACGACGTGCTCAGCTGAAGAACTGGAAGGTCTCTGGCCATTACTGACCACACCCGATCAGTGCGCAGAACTGGCACTGCAGTTGCGCGATGAAGCCAGAGACACAGTGCTGATGCATCCGCTGTTACAGGCTGAAGAGGGTTTATCGACGCTGCAGAAAGCCGCTCGCGGACGAGACAAATACTGCCACCGTCATGCGCGGGAAAAGCTTGATCAGATCAAACAGGCTCGGGCCGCCATCAAAGCGCAGGACCAGCGCCTTGAAGAACTGGACAACGCCATCCACAAGGCGCTGAAACAGGCGCCCGCTGAACCCGAAGCGTTGTTGGCGCATCGACAAAAATTATTGCGGCTGCGGGATATGCGCGCAGAGCTGGTAACAACACTCACCGAGCTGAACACACAACTTCTTTCCGCAGGTGGTAAAAGCGAGTTAAGGGATACCAGCATCGACCCGCTGGCTGATGCCGACTTGAGTCTTCCGGACCCGACGGACAATCCGTTTATTCATCTGAGTGAGCAGTGGCGTGCCCTGCAACAAAGAATGATCGCTGGAGAAGACGCTGAAGAGCTGTACCAGGCAAAACAGGACCTGACCGGGCAGTGGCTGAGTCATGCCGACAAAATGCCGCCCAACGCTGAGCAACACAACTTATTCAGCAATGTCACCCGTGAGTTGCAGGTTTATCGAAAAACCTGGCAACGCAGTGAAACCCTGCGCAGCGAACCACTCACGGCGCCGGAGCCGCTGCCTGAGAAGCTGTCGTTCGATCAACAGACCGCTGGCCTCCTGAAGCAGCGCCGCAGCTGGATCAAACGCTGGAAGAAAACCATAACCTCAGTTGACTGGCCGGCCGAACAGCCTACCCCCACCTGGCTGACAGACGCACAGGCAAAGCTGGTACAAGTCGAAAAAGACATTGAAAAGCTGCAGGCTGCGACCGCTGACGCCGGTAAACAAATGACCAGTTTTGTCAAAGACGCGGATCAGGCTTTA